GCAATTACTGGAAAATGTAATGACCATCTTAAAAAAAGTAGTAGTTCCTTTATTTTGAAATTATTTTGGGATAATCTCTCAATTTTTTTGTGCTTACTTCCAGGTCACCGTTATTGTGGATGCTTCTGATGCTGAGGAATTTGCTGAAGTGTCAACAAAGCCTCTGAGATCTCTTCCATATGATTCACCAGGACAAACATTTGTGGTATTTGAGAAACCAGAAGGAGTCCCCACAGTTGGAAAATTCTCAAATATGTTGAAGTTTATTGTGAAAGAGGTACTGTTCTCCCTTCTCTGCTTGGGGGTGTGTTTTTATAGTCACGTTAGACACGGCTACAAAGTATCTTGGTGTTGCTTGGTTATATTTGGACATTTTCAAGCTTGGCTTGAGCTTATCGAGCTGTAAAAACATTATGCTTGAGCTCAGCCTGATAGGTACTCTACTATAGCTCATGAGCCTGTTGGTCTTGTTTATGGCAAGAAATTTGAAAAAGTTCACGCCCTGATTTTTTTTATTTAATAAAAGAAGTTACAATTAAAATTTTAACAGAACATTGTTGTTGTTGTAGACCACATGGAGGCAGTGAGAATAGTCACTCGAATTGCAGACTTTTGTAAACTTTCCACTCAATAAATCTATGTCCATCACTGGTTTCTTAGAATAGGTTGTTAACATGGAAGAATAAACTTATCCTATAGATGTATGGACAAAAAAGTTACTCACCATTTCCTTTGCTTATTACTTATTTGGTGGTATTGCCAGGTTGATCCGACAACTGGTGAGGCTGAGGAAGATGGTGTGGAAGATGAATACCAGCTGGAGGACCTTGAGGTTGTTGCAGCGGATTATGTGTTAAATGTTGGGGTATCTAATTTCAGAAATGCTTGGGAAAGCATGGGCCCAGATTTTGAGCGGGTCGATGAATATGGTCTTGGTCCAAGGGAAAGCTTGGCAGAAGCCGTAAATACAGTCATTGGCCTTCTTGGCATGCAGCCCTGTGAGGTGAGTTTATCAGTAAGGTTACATATTATCCAAATTATTTGTTGACCTTGAGGTAGTTGGCAAGCTAATGACAACATGGCCTTAAAGTCCTTCAATCTTACAAGTCAATTCAAGATTGTACGAGGAAAGTGCAATGAATGATGCCTTCAAGATCTCTATGAACTTGGAGGAGTTTAGATCCAGCCTTTGTCCTTACTGTTCTCTGATTTCCCGAGAGTATTTATTTGTACTAATCTTTTTGGTATTTTAGTCATTAAAAAAAAGCCCTTGTATTAGTAGTAAAGCATGCCATTATGATTACTCTTTTTTTATATGGAAGCTGAAAGAATACCTCAGCTGTCTCATTTTCTGGTGCACTTTCAGGGCACAGAGGTTGTCCCAAACAACTCAAGATCGCATACATGCTTATTGTCTGGGGTATTCATGGGCAATGTAAAGGTACTTGTTCGGTTGTCCTTTGGAATTGACGGTCCAAAAGAAGTTGCAATGAAACTCGCTGTTAGATCTGAAGATGAATCTGTCAGTGATGCTATTCATGAAATTGTAGCAAGCGGGTAGTTGGGATACCTCCAGATTTGTTTTTGGAAATTTATGGCTGCAAACAGATTCACTATCTGTGAGATGAATGCCTGCCTACACACAGTGAGTTTGGGAGTTCGGCTTGTTGAGATGATTCTTCTGCTATATTTTTTTTCATTAGAAAAAAAAATTTATTGTGTAGGTTTTCTATCAAGCGTGCTTGATTTTCTGTTGATCATATATGGAAATGAATTTTGCGAACACTGTCTGACATTGGTGTTAGAACTAGCTTTGAGTCAGACATATTATTGGCAATTGTTGTATTCATTCTAAATTTTCAAAATACATTCAGGTGTTCTTTGGGAAGAGTTCATTTGGGCTATTTGAGCTCTTTAAGCCACAAAAGACAGAATAAACTATTTGAGTTACAACAGACAAAACATCACATTCAACCCATAATTATTACACTCTCACAAAAAAAAGTCAAAAAAGTCAAAAAGTCAAAAAGTCTTTTCCAAACCAAGCTTTTGAACCCAGGTTCAAATAGTCAAAAAATTAAAAAGTCAATCCATTTCTCAAACGGAGACTAACAACTTTCAGTTTTCTGCTTATAGCTTTTTTTCTATTATTATTAGTGTTTAGGTATTTAAACTTGACTTGTTTATTAATTGAGCATGAATGATGCTTGAGCTTGGCTCAAATATACAATTGAATGAGCTTGTTGAATATTAATCAATATTGAGTTTTGCTGAAAGCACAAATTAAAAGAAAAAAACACAATATTATATGAATTATATATATTAATCGAGTTGAGCACTTATTTTAGTTTCAACTCAATTGAGGTTAGACTCGGCTCAAATATGTAATCAAAATTTCAAATTAGATGAGACCGAGTTGGTTGTTAACTTTTCTATGGCGGTTGTTGGAGCCTGTTGGGGCAGTGGTCTGCAGATACCGTGCCAAATATACAAGCGAACAAGTTGATCGTTTGTCACTCAACTCGTTTATGCTAATCATGTTCAAACTCGACTTGAGCCTTGATAATGAAAAAAAAAATCCATCAACTCGTCAAATATTATTCTAACATTTTATATTGATTAAATATGTCAAATATTATTCTAACATTTTATATTGATTAATATTTAATTATTATATTTATATTACTATTATAAAATTATAAACTAACCAAACTTTGAACTCATTCTAGCTCTATCTCAGCTCATTTTGAGCTAACTCATCATTTAATGAAGTGAGTCAAATCAAACCTTACCGAGTTGAATCGAGTCGACCTAGTGAGCGACTCAGATAATTTGCGACCTACTGTTGAACTATACAGTTGATTCGAACTTTTTATGGTGGATTCGATTCCATATATGTACAGAACATATATCCTTACAATGACGAATTAACCTCAATTCCAAACCAATTTCCATTTGATATACAAAATCTACACTGAAAATTGAGTCCAAACTTTAGTTTGTGAATTGTATATACCTCAAATTCAAACCCTTAAGCTAGCGATTCGGACTCAATTTGTTCAGCTACGAGCCACAAGATCCACACTCAAAACAAATGGATCGGCCCATTTTCAGGCAATCCGACACACGAATCGAGGCCTCCGCAGAGTCCGGATGTACGAAATGGCGGCGAACTCGACGTCCTCCAGAAGAGGCATCAGAATAGGCGCCGCCTGAGATCGGAGGAGGAGGAGTAGGAGAAGAGCGACGATCTCGTGAGGATAATTGCCTCCAATTCGGACGTAGAGATTGACTCTTCTTCTGCTCTGTTGTGCGTTCTCGAGGAGCTGAGAGCGTACTTGGAAAAGTAGGTTTAGGTCTAATCTGAATCGATTGATTCCGAGGCCGATATTGACATCGAAGCGTTCGAGTTCAATAGCATTATTGTTGTTGTTGTTGTTGATATTTTCGCTGTCGTCATCTTCGTCGTCGTCGTTGTTGGGAGGATTGAAGACTCGGCGAACGAAGATGAGGACGGAGCCGAAGGCGATTACAGAGCCCAAGCAAGTGAAGAGTATCAGAGAAGAAGAAGAAGAAGAAGCGAGCGATGAAGATGAAGATGAAGCAGACAATAACGAACGATCCATTGTGTTTTGGGGACTTTGGCTATAATAATACATGTGTTTGATTCCGTTTGAAAAACTGGATGTGTATATATACACCAACTCCTGTGTCTCAAGGTGGGTTTAAAAAACAAAAACAAAAAATATTATGGTAGAATAAATTTTTATTAAATGCCTCCTATAAGTATAAAATTCACGCATGATTTGTATGAATCTCACATTTAAGTAAAAAATTTGAATAACATTTTCCAAACAGAAACAGGAAAAACGTGTGTTGTTATTATAGTGTAAAAACTGGGGTGTCAGTTTATTAATTTGGTTTGGTTAAAAAATAAAAATAAATAAATAAATAATAAATAATAAAAAAAAACAAGAAACAAATGTATATGTTAAATATTTTGAAAAACAAAAATAAAAAACAACAATGCTAAGTAGTTCAAAATTTTGTGACTCAAATGGCTCAAATGGCTCAAATTACTCAAAACGACATCGTTTTGAGTGTAAAATAATGTAAAACGACGTCATTTTGATAAATTTGAGCCATTTGAGTCACAAAATTTTGAACTACCATCCATTTTCTAATAAAAAAATATATTTCAATGTCAAAATAGTGACCACCTGTTGTAATGGATAGACGTGGCTGTAGAGAGTGGAGATAGCGGAAGATAGTCATCAGAGTTGAGTATCACCAAGCACCAAAACAGTATGTTTTAACTTTAAATAAATATTTTTTAAACTTTTATAATTAATTATAGTTGTTTGAAACAAAAATTATATATCATATGAACTTTTATTTTTAATTTTAAAAAAATAAAAAACTCACCAATGGAGATTTCAAAGTTCACCAGGTGTTCGCCCGGTTTGGGATGGGAGGAGAAACCCGACCAGATTTATAACTAGGTGTAGGGAGGCTATCCTACCCGGTTATGTATTTAAATTATCAAATTATATTATTGTTATAATAATAACAATTTAAGTGAGACATAAAAAAGAAATAAGTAAAAAAGGCAGGGTTCGACCTTTTCACCGGCTCATCCAAGTTCTGGCTTCGAGCCTAGGGTAATAGCAGACCCTAATCACAGCCAACCAATACAAACATATTGATGATCAATGTGTTAAACAGAGTACCATAAAATCACAACTATATTGCACGACTTGGGCGGACAACTGGGAGGAAGAAAATGAAAGGGAAGGGAAAATAAGAGCGCTCTCTTTCCCGCTGTGAATGAAGACTTTGAAGAAACAGATTAGGTGCAGAACCTAAAAGAACTGACCAAGAGTACATGGTCCATATGACACATCAAGTTGATTGAAGATGGAGACGACTACTGAAATCTAAGTTTGCTCGTTGAACTGAAAATAGTGAGGAAGAAGAAACAGGTTAATTGACAGAGTATATAGTTTTAAAAATTGGCTTCTCTAATTCAACTTCCCAAAGACTATTTATATATATATATATATATACTCCTTTTTCACTATCCTAAATGGTATTTCCATGAACAAACAGTAACAGAACTATGGTTTCTCAAACAGAGTACTTCTTAATGAGATTCAAAAGGTTATACAGGGGAAGGGGGGATTAGAAAAGAAAGGAAGGTAAGACAACCACCCCCACGGGCCCGCAATGTTGAGGCAACTCAGATGAACTTTAAATGCCAACTACTCAGACCACCCGTCTATGCCCGCCAAAAGCCCAAATCTGCAAACAAAGAGATTCAATAAGAACTAAAAATAAATCAAAATTTGCTTACAATGTAATGCACAATGAGGAGGAATGCAAGCAAACAATTCTATTCATTTAGTTTCAGCTGTGCATATAACTACGAACGAAACATGATAGATATTTTGCAACTACGATGAAAAGAAGTTGTTGAGAGAGAGAGAGAATACAAAATGAACAATGGTGGAAGGGAATTACTAACTAAATGCTCTTGTATGAAATTATTTGTACATATATTCAAACTTATCGCATTTAAACAGTGAATAATAAGTACATGTGCTGGTGATTGAAAAGTACACGTGCCAGGAGTGTATAGCACTACTCTTAGCAAACATCTATTTCTCTCACCTGAACAGTTTAGTCAAGTTTGGAAACTCAGGTCAATCAAAGCATCAAATCCTAACTGCCTGGGAATTTCTACAAGTCCTTTTCCACCCTTTAGCTCCAAAGAATGGTCAAAGTTTTTAAAGTGGTTTAAAGTCTAACAGTACCTACCTACGGTGCTACATATATTTATTACTTTGGTGGTGATGGTCTCTTATTCATTTTCTTTTCAGACTCCTGAAAATCTACAAGTTACATTTTTCCTTTTCACTGTGGTTTTTTGACAGAACATTTTTTATGAAAAAAATATTTTCCGTAGAAAACTTTTTCAATGTTTGGTTGCAACCTTAAAACTAATGTGCTAATGGTTTTAGTGGTGGTGGTGGAGGTGTTGGTAGGGTGGTGATGGTGGTAGGTTGGTGGAGGTGGAGGTGTTGTTGGTAGGGTGGTGATGGTGGTAGGTTGGTGGAGGAGGAGGTGTAGGTGTTGTTGGTAGGGTGGTGCTGGTGGCAGTTGTGTGTTGGCATTGGTAAGAGTTTAATTTGGAAAACATTTTCCACCTATTAAAATTAGAAAAGAAAATGTTTTTCACCCAAATAAGCTTGTTAATCTACAGAAAAAAGTTTTCCGTTGACTTCCATTTTTCATAGTATCAAACGTCAGAAAATGTGGAAAACATTTTCCACAAAGTGTTTTATAACAAAAAAAACGCAGCGTTCATGTTTTTCTTTTTTCCTCTGCACCCATCCATCCTGAACAAATCAGAGTCAAGCAGGTTTGCCAACATATCATGATTCAAAAATATATATATTTTCTCTAAATCACCTTACATTATGATATAACAAGTAACTTTCATGGCCAGTGTTGGGAAACACTCACCTTCAGATTTGTATCCCAACTTCCTGTACACAAGGCACTCCCATCAGCTGACAAGCCCAAACAGCTAATCCGACCCTCATGTGAATTTTGGAGTGATCCCAAATCCAGCACCACCTATATAAATAGAAAAAGAAAGGAAAGAAAGTAACACACACAAACATACATCATAAACGAGAATGTTAAGAAGGGGTGGGGCATGAAGGAGCATAAACTTGGAAAAGCAAGGTTCAAATTTTATTATTCATTTATTTATTTCTTTAGAATAAGCAAAAATTTCACAAAAATACAAATGAAGTTTGACTTGAAAAACAAAAAATAACAAAGGCAGATTTCTCTTTCTAAGATAAATAAAGTCTGATTTTGCCATTATGACACCACATATAATAGCTGATCTGCAAACACAATCATAATATTAAAGTAGGGTAAAGGAAATTCAAGAAAATCCCTGTTTCCACTTTACAGGTCTTTCCTTCTAATAAAAGCAAACTGTTCTTTTCATGACACATGCTAGGCTTTGTGACTTTAACCAAATTCATGAAAGATCTCAAAATAGCTATAATAAAAAAACATATATATATTTAACCAAATTCATAATAAATCAAATGAATAACTAATTAATAAAAATATATATATCAAGAAGTAAGTACGCTGATACACAGATGTAAGTATCTCCCTCGTGACTATGCTGATCAGTGGGCATGCAAGGGTATTTTTGTGCAAAGGTGAATGCATGAGAATTGTAACTCATATGAAAGAAACATATATACCTTTGCCAATAAAGTATCCCATACATAGCAATCACCATTTGAGTACCCGGCAAAGAGAAGCCTGCCTGATATGGAGAATGCAATGGAAGTTACATGGGGGACATCATTATCACCATGCTGTTGATAGTATACTTGGAGCTGGTGCCCAGTCCTAATGTCGAATAACTTGCAAGTTCCATCGTCTGAACCAGTTCCAAATCTATTTCCATCTGGGAAGAACTTCACAGCATTAACATCTCCCTCATGACCATGAAATGTCCGGACTGCTCGACTAGCAACACGAGTGTCCCACAATCGGGCAGTTGCATCACAAGAACCAGACACAAACATTCTTGAGTTTGAACCACTGATTGAGACACTGGAAGAATAAAAGATGATGACATAATAAGAAAGCCCCTGTTTTCTTTTTTGCATTTTAGTACATTATAGAAACCACTGAAACATTATGTATACAAAGCAAAGAAGTAGCAGCCAAATCACATTCTTTCTTCACATGCAACAAAAAAATAATTAAAAAATCCAGGGCCTTATATTTTCCAGACATTTGGAAGATAAAACTTTATATGACAACTTCCATATAGGATAAAAAATTCCAAGATGGTACTTAAGAAGATCAAGCCTAGTGGAAATTGCAATAGGATTAAAAACCAATCAAAATTAAACAGAATAATGGAATCTCCATATTTGTAAAATATTATGCCCATGTCAAAACCCTTCTACCATCTGGTAACATACACACACAATTTGCTATTATTAGTATGTATGGGTTATAGATATTATTGATTACTGAAGTCCTTCAGCATCATAGTATCAGAAAAATTTAGAGGTCATCAGTTGTGGAGTAGTTGGAATTTGGAAACACATGTATGGTTATGAGTCTTATGACAGATGTCACAGAAATACAAGCAATCAAACTTATGAGGCCTTTGAGGCTTTAATTTCAGAAAAACCTTGATGGGGTGTCTATGGAAGGCAAGCATACAATAGTTTAAATTAGGCCTGTCTATCAGTCCCATAAAAAAAATTGAATGTTCACCTGCTTCAATTCTATAACGGGATAAAAAAAATTCACATGAAATTTAAAGGGGAAACGATAAAAAAAAAAAATGGAAAATATGGAAAATAATTGTAAATAGGTGGAGAATTAAAAATAATTACATTAGGATTGGGAGGTTAAAAAAATTGCAAAAACATTGGTTGAGCAAGGGGCATTTTTGTCATTTCATACGTGGATTCCACCTTGTTGTAATTATTTTTAATTCTCAGTATTTGAAATTTTTTCCCTTACTTCCTATTTTTCTGTAATTTCCCAAATTTAAATCACGTGCAACAATATTTAATAAGAATATATTAGATTGAATATGCAACTCAACTATATGCAGGTGCTTCAACCTTCATCCATGTGTTAATTACAAAAAAAAAAGAAAAAAAAAAGAAGGTTTTTCAAACAGTAAAGTATTTTTATCAAGAACAAAAACAATAACAAAATTAGATCAATACTAATTTGGAATCCACCAAAAAATACCTCAGCACATCAGCAGTGTGTCCAGACTGGAATTCACCTCCAAAAACAGAAGTTCTCAGGCCTGTAGTTATATCCCACAAAACACACGTCTGATCACCTGAACTTGTTATTAGGTGAGTATCTTCATCTGGAACATACTGACAACAGGAAACATAACCCTTATGCCCACTAAGCATTCTTGATACAGGTATAGTCCCATCTTTGTCAGTGGGAGAATTCAGGTTGAAGATGGAGCATACGCTGTCAAGCCCACCACATGCAACAGACTGCCCAGTCGGAGAGAATGCGCACGTCATGACCCATGCACAAGGTAATTTTATGGCATGAGTTTTCTGGCTTGTGAGAGCATTCCACACTATTAGCCTCCCATCTTGAGATGCACTGACTATTCGATTCTTTTCCGGAGTCCAGTCTAGTGAATAAACCTGAAAAATTCTATGTGATTAGGATACTATTTTACTCCATCATCAATAATAAAGTTAACATGGCAATCATTTATTATTTTGTCACTAATATGGACAAAATGTTATTGACTTGTCGGATATTGTACTTAGACATAGTTACCTTACATTACATATTGTCACTGTAGGCATCAATCCAATACATCAAAAAAACTATTAATAACAAGCAAATGTAATGATGTTAAGCTATTAAAGAGATAATGAATCAAATAATACAAATGAAACGCATCCCAGTATAATAGTTCAAGTCAAAGAATCATGCCAAATTTCATCTGACATCCAGTCTTCTTCTTTTCTTTATTTTTATATTTCTGATTTTTGGTTTGTTAAGTGCAAGCTAAACGGCTCAAGATCTTCTTCAATAGATTTCTTACTATTTTACCAGCATTAACTGATTCACTCCACATCTTTTTCCGGATGATATGTCACTTCACCTTACAACAGTTATTTGGATAACTCCTTATTTGACTGTGTTTACTACATTGTATGAACTCTCAACCAATTATAAAATAAAATTATGACTAAAGGGTACATCACAGCATATTAGTTTGAGGGAATGTGTCTAATCATACAATTTCCAATTCTTTTCTCAACAAAATTTACAGCACCAATCAATTATAGGTCCTGTTTATATAAATTATCTGCATGGTCAAAATTCATCCTTAAAATTTGTAAAGTCGGTCCACTTATGCTATAACAGTAACAAAATAAAAGCGTTCAAATCAAGTATTTAAATTAATAGAAAATTCAAATTTAACAGGAATTATACTATAGAAGGACAGATTAGGGAGTGAGATATGTGTCCGATAGTTTTCATCGGAAACTTCTTATATATTTGTATTTAACAATATCTTATATTTATCATTTGGTGTATAATTGCTATAAAACAACTTTTTGGCACTGCATATTACATATAGTACCATTTTATCTCACATAATATATTAAAACTATGACTCCTTTTTGCCGAGTCCACGCACCCTTAAATTTGAGAGTTGATGAGTCCGACGACCTCTAACTATGCACCCATGCCCGACAACACCCATACTCAATTCCATATAAGTAAAAGAAGGATTTTTTTTATAATATAGAGAAAGAAATCAGTGTTGCATAGGATAGAGTCGTTAGAAGGATTCTTAGCTCATTGTGCTTGTTTTAGGCCACAAAAAGCTACTAATAAGGATACTTTGTACATCTTGCATTACATCTTTACACTCATTTCATTTGATACACACTTAATCGTTGTGTAGAGGATTTTGTTATAAAGGAAAAGGATACTTTATATAAAGGATTTTGTTAATGTGTGCCCTTAGTGCACTTGTTAAGAAGCTTAAAAGAATTGTGCATTTTGCATGAAAGCAAGTGCAATAAAGAATGTATATATGCCTGAAGGGCACACATTAATAAGACCCATATAAAAAAGATTTGATACTGTCCAGTTCTTGTACTCAAATCGCAGCAGTTATCCTAATTCCTCCCTTACCAGCCAGTCCAGTTATAAACCTAGCCATCTATATCAAGTAACCAAAAGGATACAAAGGGAAAAGAAAAAATTGTGAAGTTATAACCTCATACAAATTTGGATACTACAAAATAGATAATAAAAAGTGGTCAACCACTAAACATCAACAGACATGATTATTGATTGAACTTCGACAACGATTTGAAAAAGTTAAAACACCAAAATGATAAAAATAGTGGTCAATTATTAAGATCATTAAATTAAATGAACTGAATATCCTTTTTGCTAATAAGTTCAATAACCTAAATTGCCAATATCCAATAAGGAGTAAACATAAAGCATATTGACCCATTAAATGATACAGACAAATTTATTGCATATGCTTTAAAGAAAAATGGCATGATTATGTTTACACGGTAGCAACAGGCCTCTTATCTGGCATAGAAAATAATTGTTATTTATAACATGACATGCAAATAGAGAGTCATGTAATCAACAGATACATTCCACCCTTCATGATAGTCTATCAGCCTCAGAGAAACTGTTTTAAGGCCTTCAAGATTTTTCTAAACAATCAGAAAAAAGCCAGGCCCTGTTAGACATGGTTTCAAATTTTGGTATTATCTAACAAGGTATCATGAAATAACAGTTTCAGACAAACTCAGCGTACGCAAGAATAATGGATCTTACTGTCATTATGCTGATAAAATTATGTTCTCGCCCAGATAATGCTGCTGTATCAGACATGGGATCTTCCTTGGGTAACAAGAGGAAACTTCAAAATAGAAAATAAAAAAATTTATCTGGCCATAATAACAAAATTTTAATTCTCAGATTTTGGCCGTAATAATGTTTTCTGGCCAAGATAATGTTATGGTTCTGCTGCTGAGACAGCAGACAATAAAATTATTAACAAACTTCCTTTTAGATGAACACAATGAAAACATTCTCCACGAAAACATATGGAGTCATCATCCTATTATTTCAAGATCTAAGAATTCAAAAATTAACAGAAATCCCCAACTAGAACCACAATTTCCATCAAAAGAATTTGACGTTCAATTGTTAGAATCCTATAGAAATACCGTCACTGCTTCTAGAAATGTTGTCAAAAAATGAAAGTTACTCTCACTTCAAATTCTAAAACTCAAACCAATGTCTCGGTATTACAATAAGAAAGCTGCAGGCATTTTTAAGTGAAGTGCGAGAGAAAACACTGAGCATGACACTCAAAATTGTGTTCGCATACACAATTGTCTTCTTCATAGCGTTATTAATTATTCAGATCAAAACACAGGTAGAAAATTCCATATAATTCACTGTATTCAGCATGAACCAAAATTCACAGAACAAAAAACGAGATCATTAACTGCAATGCAGTCAACTATAATAGATACACACAAACATATATGCATGATCATTGATCACATAGACAAATTTGAAATCCAGAAATTGTTAAACCCTACCTTCCCACTGTGTCCCTGCAATGTCCTACAGCAAACCAGATCCGTCGGACCGAAGCAAACCGGAGTCTTCCCTTGCGACTTGGCATACGTCGCCACTGCAAAATTCATACCAAAAAAACACAACAGATCAAAGCAAACATCACACATGCAATCAATCAGCCAATAACAAAAACATACAGAGAAACACACACGAAGAGAGAGAGAGAGAGAGAGATTGAACCATCGGTGTCGAGAAGGAGGAGACGCTTCTGCTTCAAGCGTTCTCTGAGAGAATTCACGGTCTCCGTAGCAGCCATGTGGCGCTCTTTCAGGTCTGAAACGGACATCTTCGAGAATTTTAATGGTTAAAAGGCCATTAAAACTTTGTCATGAGCTTGATTTAAGCCCTAATCTCCATTCCTTACAGTGAATTTGAAAACCAGAAATGAAATTTAGTTTCGGTTCATATCGAGATTAGGGTTTTGAGAAGTTGAGATATATATATATATATATATATATATAAATAGAGAGAGAGAGAGAGAGAGAGAGAGAGAATGTTGAGAGGAGAACAAGAGAGAGTGAGATCGGTTGTGTGAGACGAAGAAACGGGTTTTGGTAGGTGCGGGAGGTTCCGAACTGTGACTGACTCCGCTGGACCCACCATTAATTGACATGTCGTGTGCTGACGACTGGATACATTTGTTTAATCATTAATAAGACAATGTTTAAGATGGACCCAAAAAAAATTAATAATAATAAAATCTCTCACAGTTTCATCTATAATAATGTCACATGATACATAATTTTTTATTTGTTATATACTCAATTGTATATCACATTGTTAATAAATTAAAAAATTTAAATTATCAATCTCTAACATTACTCAATTAATAATTAATAAAAGTTTAGATCCAGTTAATCTCATATTTATATTTTAATATGATAGTACTAGTCTATCACTCGTACTATGCACGAGATAATTATACATATTTAAATTTGTTTTAGATTTTTTTAATATATAAATTATGTTTTTTAAGATTTTTTATAAAAATAATTTAACAATCTTATCACTTAGTGTATGAGAGAAGTTGAAAAATGTCCTGCAGTAACTATACAGATATTGTATCTATAATTATTTGTATGAGGGGATTTTAAATGCTAATCAAGGGATTTTGACCAAATCAATAAATACAGGCATGTGGAAAGACATGTGGATTGAAAAAAAATTAATAAATGTTAATCAGGGAATTTTGACCAAATCAATAAATGTTAAGTTTTTTTTTTTAATAAAAATTTTAAAAAATTCAGATTAGGATATTGAAACTCCCACAAGCCTTGGGGTTAAATTTAAGGATTTTATAGGATTTATTACGAATTTTGTTTTGATGATTTAAAATATTCATTTTATAGGACTCTGAATATATAGTACTTGTAAAAAAATTATATCAATTCGATAATCGTAATTTTTTTATTTTATAGCATTTGTTTTTAAAAGAATTAATAATTTATTTTTAAAATTGTATTTCTTTTTTCATATTAAACTAATTTTTCATAAATAACATATCAAACAAATTTTTTTTCGTAAATAACATATATCGAGTGTCTTACAGAATGAATAATTTTAATCATGTAAATTAGACTCGTGATGAACTCCACAAACATCTAAATATGAAAAATATATGTTTGGTTTGTATTTGGGAGATGAGTTTTAAAAAAAAAATTCTAAAACATTGTTTGGTTTGAGTTTTTCTCAAAAAATTTCCAAATTACTTTCTCTCTCTTACACATCAATCAATCACTTTTTCTCTCTCCTCTTTCCTTCTCAATCACTTTTTCTTTTACACACATCTACTCAAATTCTCCCAAAATATCAAATCATCCCAAACTCCCAAAAAAACAACTCTCCCAAAATATACAACTAAACAAACCAAAAAAAATTCTAAACTCTCTCTCTAAATTTTTTTTCAAAAACAACTCTCCCAAAAACAAACCAAACAAACCAATATATTTTTAGCAAAATGCAAGGATAAATTACATTAGAATATGTATATAAAAACTATTCTACAATCTCTTGGGATGTGGTGTGTGGGACCCACATATGAAAGCCACTCTTCTGGGAGATATGTATCACCAAGGATCCTCTAGAGTGTTTTTTTCTTAAAGTTTCATAAAGTGGTGTATTGTATGGTTGAAATTTAATACTGAAAAATTGATGTGACTTGTCATTAAATCTCAACCACACAATGCACCACTCTAAAAAACTTTAAGAAAAAAAAAACTCTAGAGGAACCGTGTTCGATATGTATGCCATTCTATGAATAGTTTTTGTATTACTTATTACATTAACCTCCATTCAGTTGAAAAAAATATAGTAGTTAATTACACTAACATCACTTTTAATATGAGTAAAGTGAATCGAAATTAATGTAAATGATAAATAGACATTAAAATAGACAAAAATAAATACACATTCTAAAAAGAAAGAGATGGTAATATGATTTTTTTTATTCATATAATTAACAAATTAATAATAAAAAATAATCTATTTGAATTAAAACTTTCGGAGAAAGTCAATTAGTGTGTTTTGTTTGAGTTTCTTGGATTAAATTTTTTAAAAATTGAGTTTTTTGGTTTTCGTATTCTTTTGTTTTTAGTGAATATTTTTAAATTTTAAATATTTTTTTTACTTTTTTAGATGCACCTTAGTTAGATGTATCTAAAAAGTAAAAAAATTGTGAAAAAATATTTTAAAAAATTAATAAATACATAAAAATATAAAAAAAATACTAAATTCTTATATTTTTTATATTTTTGGTATTTAGTAAATTTTTAAAAGATTTTTTTTACAATTTTTTTACTTTTTAGGTGTATTTATGTTAGGTGTATCTAAAAAGTAAAAAAATTGATTAAAATATTAAAAAAATTCAGTAAAAAAAAAATACAAAAAATAAAAATATAAAGGGTTCGTTTGGTTTGTATTTGTGAAAAAATTTTGAGAAATTTTATCTACAAATAAGTTTTTAAAAGTAATCAAACCAAACAAATTTTTTCAAAAAAATTTCTCAAGACTTGTAAACCAAACAAGTTTTCCAAACAAATCTCTCTCTCACAAACATCAAATCAATCACTTTTTCCAAAACTCTCTCTCAAAATAATTTTCCAAAACATCTTTTGAAAAAAACTAAACCAAACAACTTTTCGTACTTTTTATCTCTAAAACACATCTCTCAAACACAAACCAAACATACCCAAAATTTTTTAAAAAGTATTTTCTGAAAAATGAAAACAAGCCAGCTGAATATCATTGTATCAAAAATATTATTCACCAATTTAATTATATTAATTCAGTTATAAATAAAACACGCAGTGAGATTTTCTCAATTCCTCTTAAAATTAAAATAAAGTTTATAGTGACAAATATGGGGGACGAAAACTAAAATGTTCCGTTGCCGGGAATCGAACCCGGGTCTCCTGGGTGAAAGCCAGATATCCTAACCGCTGGACGACAACGGAATTTGTGCAAACGAAGTTTGGTTTATTTTAATTTATAAAATGTTGAAGTTCAAACAGTTGCCCAAGGAATTGGTCTGCTCAGTAGAGAGACGAGTTGCCATCCCGACGCACATATGAGACTTAAAGCGACTGAACTCATTACAGACCGCAATCACCTCCGAGATCAAATTACCATAATTCCAAAAAAAAAAAAAAACTATTCACCCATCACTTAGCTTGAATGGCTACCAATCTTACTTTGTATTTTTTAACATCTCCTTTTACGTTGTGTTTGGTTGGAGAATTTGAGGAGAGATTTGAAAAGGAAAAGGGAAAAGGAAAAGTTAGGTGAAATGTAAATAAAATATACTTACATTTCACCTAGTTTCACACACATTTTCCCTTTTTCTTTCCAAATCCCTCCCCAAATCCTCCAACCAAACACAGCATTTGCGTTTCTTTTTATCTTATACACCCATTTGACACCAATTATTTTGAGTCCTTCTGATAAGGATGTAAGTTTCCAAGTGTTGTTTCTTTCTATGGCTTAGATTTTTTCATTCATGGCTTGTCTCCATATGTCTTCCCTTTGTGCTGCTTCAAAGGGAAGATTTAGTGGAGTTCCAATCCTGGATGGAGGAAGGCCTTCTTCCCTTGATCTGCTGCTTGCGAAGGAAGTTTTGATTATTTTGTACCTTTATTTCGGTTTGGAATTTACTCCCATCTTAAAAAAAAAATAAAAAAAAAAAATAGAGAGACGAGCATATGTCTCTCAATATCCCATCCACAACTTGTTTAAGAAGCAACGTCTATTTCAAAATTCAATTGAATTTCATTTTTAAAAATTGGCTAAAAACCTTGAAGGAAGACAAAATCTATGCATAAATGTTTTCTCATTTCATTTTTAAAAATTGGCTAAAAACCTTGAAGGAAGACAAAATCTATGCATAAATGTTTTCTCAGGCCATTAGAGCTTCATAATTTATGAGTTCGAGCATCATGGGTAAAGAATGGTTCAAAAGAATCTTGTTTCCTACTCTTCCAAAACTTAGGCTAAATAATTACTTTTATGCTGTGTTTTGTTGGAGGATTTAGGGAGGGATTTGGAAAGAGAAAGGGAAAAGGTGTGTGAAATTATGTGAAATATAAGCATGATTTATTCACATTTCACTTACCTTTTCCATTTCCCTTTCCAAATCTCTCCCCATATTAATATAAGTTGTTTAGAGGAGGAAAAATGTGCTTTAGTGGATGTGTTAGTGAAGATGTTATGTAGTTTATTAACTGTGAAGAAAGAGACTTGTGATTGCTGTGCCATAGTTGATCTATAGGAGAGAAAATAGTGACAGATCAAAAACATTGCCCCCAAACATAGGTTATTCTTCATCAGAATTAGGTCTCCAGAATTTCACCATGAACCCACACCTATGACATCAATTTTATCCATGAAACGGGTCGTTTATGAAAGAGACATGACAGAGACATGACGTTATGCGTTCTTTTTCTTTTTCTTTTTTTTAAATAGAAAACTAAACAAAGAACAAATACAGATTCATCTGGACGCTTATTTTCCTAACCCAACCAAACGAAAGAAAGAAATTTTCAATTTATTCCGTTCAGTTACTTTTCCTACCTTTTACCATTTATTTTCCTTTCCGTCCACAAAGCCAAGATACAAAGATAGCATCAATGGTGACCATGAAAGTAATTTTCAGAAACATAGATTCGCCTGGATGCTTATTTTCCTAACCCAACCAAGCAAAAGAAAGAAAATTTCAATTTCTTCCATTCAGTTTATTTTCCTACCTTATACCATTTATTTTCCTTTCCGTCCACAAATCCAAAATACAAACATAACATCAATAGTGACAATGAAAGAAATTTTCAGAAACATCTCACTGCAGAGCATACAACAGGGGACAAACCCATTCATTACAAAAATTTCATACAAATGAGTGAAAAGACAATCGAAAGACTTCAACACCCAATTTAACAGACTGACAAACACATGCAGAATATTACAACAGTTTGCTCAAACAAAACAACAAAACAAAACAAAAAACCAGCAAGAACATGCCATGTGTTCAAAGAGATCGCATTTGAATAAACAGGAAAGAAAAATGGCTTCCAAGGAATTAAACAGGGAAGGAAAGAAGAAAAAACGAGAAAAAAACAAAAAGGCACATCAGCAATTGAATGTGAAAATTCTCCCAGTTATCCTCCAGAGTGGGAGACCGGAGTTGTTACGAACTGGCCATTCTTGTACACATGAACAAACTGCTGCGGCAATGAATGCTCCCCCTGCAAAATAACACAATAAACCATCCTTCATATAACTTATGGTGACTTCTCATCCTTGTTAATAAATTTCATCTGAATAAACAAAAACTATCAACTAATTTATTGCATCGTATATGCAAATTGAGTACTATAAAAGTATGTATTCACGCCACTCATTAATAGATTTTTGGTTAAATGATGAAGCATTTTGTAAATAACATTTGGTTGCAACTAACAAATATTAAAAATAGAATACAAAAAAAAAGTCACAAAACCCAATATGAACTAATGCTCTGTTTGTTTGGGTAAAAAACATTTTCTAATAGAAAATATTTTCTACAAAAAACTTTTTTCAAAACATATTTTTTGGAGAAAACATTTTTCTATGTTTGGTGGTGATGATGGTGGAACGAAAGTGAAGGTAAAGGTGAAGGTGGAGGTGGAGGTGGAGGTAGTGGCATGGTGGTGGGGAGGCAGCAGTCATAGTGACGGTGATGGTGGCAATGGTCGTGGTGATGGTGGTGTGGTGGTGGAGGTGAGAGTGGTGGTGGTAGTGTGGTGACATTAGTAAAATTTTAGTCTAAAAAATGTTTTCCATCTTTTATTATAAAATATTTTCTGCCACATATAAGCTTGTTTTCTGTTGACCATGGAAAATACTTTCCGTTGATTATTGTTTTCCATTGTACCAATCACCAAAAAATGCGAAAAACATTTTTCAAAATATGTATTCCTTCCAAACAAATGGAGCATAAAGTTAATAACATGTCTCCGAGAAAATAACTTTAAGACAAAAGGGAGTACTTTAACCCATCACGAACACTAACTCAAGCAAATGTGAATCAAGCAGCATTGAGCAATAGTAAGCCCACCTCCCTTCTCTTCTAAAATTAAGATATGACAACGCATCTTTAAAATATTCTAAATTTTCTTATAAGTACTATTGTAAAATAAAATCAACTATTTCTAGCAAGATGTTAAACTGATTACTATTTAAGGATACTTTCAATAAATCATGAGATACTGCAATTAATTAACCGCCTCAGCATCACCCCAATATGTTTGGCTAGGTCACTCAACCAATCTGATTGAATTGGCCCACAATGTTCTCGGTACTAACTAGAGACCTTAACAACAGAAATGAAGAGCCAGAATTCATTAACTACAAAGAAAGGAACAAGTTCACTTTGGCATCCAACCTCCAGCTCTAAAGCCCATGAGTTATAGAACAACCAATCTCCTCAAAAGATGGCTACCAAATATGTCCAATTAGTTTAGGACCCTTGAGTTGCTATCTACTATAATTTCTGGTGATGCTAAAAAATATGTTAAAAAATAAAAAACTATCATCCATGTTAATTTTCTGTTACTTGTGTGAATATCTAATTAGCATGTTAGCCTATGTTTTGTCATTATGGATATAGTAGAAATTCTTTATGATTTTCAATTTTAAAGAAGTGTTGGTTGATATCATGCAATAAAAATCCTTGTAAGCCTTGCCTTAAAAAAGAAGTGTTTGTTTAATTTTAAATTTTTACTATCACAAGAGTTAAAATGTACCTGGAAAACCTAAAAGAAATGTCTAAACATACCCAATCGCCACCTGGCTCAGCACTAGGTACAAGGACATTGATTTCGCTTGACTTAGCTGTTGTTATAGAAACCTCCAAAGAATCTTTGCTTAGATATAATTGGCAACCTGCTGTGTTATCCACTGAAATTGTTGGAGCAGAACCCTACAACAGCCAAAGAAAATTGTATCAGTATTAATGCCAACTGATCCAATACTCTAAAGACCATTAAGACATGTTTAAGTGAAGACAACATATGTGGTTTAATAATAATAATTTATTTATTTAATTTTTTTTCATAACAGATTAATCAAAATCCGAAACTTTTAAAAAGCAGCCAAAAACATGACAGAAATGTATACCTGGCATTGAATCTCAACACCATTGCAATTCACAATCTCACAAGCAGCCACAACATCCTGTTTTCAAGGTGAGACATTAAGTGATACATATCCCTAACCATGTGTTGTTATATCCACAATTCTAAAGAAGAAGAAGAAAAAAAAATAATTCTGCCACAGTTTTCTTACTGACCGCGAATACAACACCCATCTTGGAGCATTTATCAACTGTTATGTTGTTAACTTTCCCTGCACATGTTAGAGTACCAATAAGCTCTTTCTGACTTAACAGGATCAGTAGCAAATGCAATACTAAATATAAGACGAAGAAGAAACATGCATGTAAGATAACAAAAATCACCTTGGATCTGTAAAACGGAATCTTTGCATCCAAAAATGTATACAGACTGCTTTGCATCACAGTCATCAATCACTAAATTCTTCTTTCCAATTTGATTCTCAACTGCCCACCTGCTCAACAAACAACGTAATAATAACAAACAATTTAAAATCAAACTCTTTATGTGAATCATGAAGCATGAATATGTACTCACTTACGACCCATTTGAAGCTCCAGCTTTGGAGGTCCTGTTTTAGAGAAAGACGGTGAATTCACACGAGTTTCTTTTTCATTAGCACCAACAATGCCTGTCCTATCTGCACGGTTCTTGGTTTTCATATCGGCTGTGACCTTTCTCAAACCTAGTAGGCAAGGAAATAAACTAAAGCATGCCCAATAAACCCTGGCAAAAAGAAGAGAAAAATGGAGAGAGAAAAGAACTACCTGTGGTCACTGGCTTCCCTGAATTAATTTCTTGAAAAACAGCAGCCATTCCTTCCTTTGGGCGTGATGATGAAGAATGAGGAGATTCTGAACTAAAGAGTGATGCTGATGGAGGAGGTGGAGGAGCGGGGGCTCTTGATGTAGGAGCTTTTGACGGAGCAGAAACAGTTGATTTTCCTGTGGCACTCCAAACAGGGCCCAAAGGATAGTGACTCTTCACATAATCCCTCAAACCTGGTACATAGAGCTCCTTTAGAGCTTTTACCCACTCCACGTGATTCGGGTCTTTATTTTTGTACTCTACAAGAATCTGCAAAAACACAGCAAAAAAGCATCATCCCTGACCAACAGAAAACAATTTTACTCCTAAACTATTATTTACTAAGTAATAACTGCGAATAGAAAAGTACATCCATAACCACCTGTAAGTTTTAATGTTTTACCATTTATTGCATAACATGTTGCAAGCATCAAACGTCAGGAAGACAAAAAATAACATATCAACATTATCTGTTTTACCCTCTATTTGCTTAATAAAATTCCCTACATAAAGGTGTCGCTTGTCAAACATAGAAATAAAAATGGCTGGAATGAAGAATATAATTTGATTAACAAAGAGGACCTCTCCGTGTTCTATTACAGTAGACTCTAAAAATCATATTGATAAAACCACTAGCTACCATTGCTCTTGAAACACAACAATCAATAGTAACACTCTGCTCATCGAAATTCTGCAGTTTTGCAAACTGAAGGAAAATGGATTCATTTTAATGTTGGGATTTACCCATTTCCAGGAACTTTAATGGACATCAGCAGCTTTCTTTGGTTGAGGTATGTAAGTTCTTAGAGACCAAAAATATCAAGATTAATATAATTTTCATTCTGATGTATACAATGACATTCAATAAAAAAGTAAAATTGCAAAATCTTACTCATTGGCCTGTCAAAATGGATAAATATAATGGGACATTGCATCAAGGAAAAAAGGGGACCAAAAAAATCAGATGGGGGAGTACTAATCTTCAATCTAAAAGATTTACCACCTTAACACATCTAGACAATATATATATATAAAAAAAAAAAAAAAAAAAAAAGGGGGGGAGAGGGGGGGAAAGAAGAAGAAAAAACAATGAAAAGGAGTGTGAAGAAATATAACCCACGGTAAACAACTATATACTAATGCACTACAGATTTTTCTCTGTCCCTTTGCTTCAATTTAAAGCAACATATTCTAGTTATCATAAGAGGCATAATCTAAATAGAGCTGCTAGCTTACAGCACCTATTTAAAGAAGTACCTTGTTGCTGTAGAATTCAGCCATTTGCCAACTTTCTTCCACATGTGCAATAGGCATGCTCATACCTTGAAAAGGGGAAGCAGAGTTACATGAAATCATCAATTTCAAGCATTAGAAAAATAATCTAACATTTATCTCACCGCAATCTTTGCCAGTATATGCAATCCAAGCTACAGCTGTGAGACTGTCAGCAGCAGTTTTCAAGTGGTTAAAGAAATCAGATCGCCTTCCCTCTGTCATTGCGTTGGCTTTCATTATCATGTTATTTAGCGGCTTGAGAAATTCAGCCAACCCTGCCATGTCAGGTTTCTGCACAATGAAAAAAAAAGAAGCACATGCACCATCATAGTACCAACAACCCAAATAAGTAAACAAACATAAATTATAGCATAAGAGGATATGGTTAAATTTGAACCCTATGAGCATTTGAATTCAGCCCTGGTGTCAAGATTCCATCTAATCCATTATGCTTAGCCTCATCTCCTTACACAAAAACCACATCATCAAAACATATACTTTACTTTATGCTAATGACAATAATATGTCATCCAACTAATATCAGTTCAGAAAATTGTTGCAACAGTGACTCTAGCAAACAATCTGTATCGATTATCAACAATGATGGACCCAGGAGGGGCAATCACCCTCCTACGATTTCAAAAAATCCGTTTATATGCTAATATTAGCTATTGATTATTTTTAAATTATACATATTTGCCTCCTCTAAGTTACAAAAAAGATTAAGCAGTTGGAATGACCATACATCTAAATCTATGAAACCATGGGGTTTGAACTATAAAATTTAACAATTTGGGGGAAAAAAAAATTTGATTTTTCACAACTCCTAGATTGTCTCACAATTCCTATTTTTTGTAATTCAACATGAATATTAGAAAATATTTCAATCATATATGTTTTTATGGTATTTTTAACATTTGATATTAGTAGAAATCAATGCTGTAGTTGATACATTCCTTTTAAAAATTTTGTCAGTATATATGTTTGCCCCCTATGTTAGAATTCTGGGTCCATCCTGGTTATCAACACTTCTAGGGCATGTTTGATTAAGAGGATTATAGCATGGGATTGGGATTGTTAGTCCATGGACTCATAATCTCATCTCATAATCTCATGTTTGATTGCAACTGTTTTTAACCAGATTACACGAACGGCGGACATTCAATTTGATGAAATTGGCGAATTTTTAATATTGAGAGGGGTTGGAATCATAATTTCAAGTATGAAAGAAACAAAACAAAACAAAATGAATACATAATAAATGGTTATCCCACTAATTTGATTAGATAACTAATATATGAACAAGGCCCTAGACTAATATATGAACCTTGAAGAGATCTGATTCCAATTCAAAAGATCTATAAATAAAAGATATTCTATAGCAAATGTTTCATATAACATATAAATATGCATTCACAACATAATCCCAAATTCACCTGATTTCATACAGTACCCACAGAAATGCACCATATTTATGAACCAATCACAAGCACACAAAACTTATAAAAATCAAACCAACTAGAGATGACCAATTATGATACGTACAACTTCAAAGAACATAATCAAACCTTACGAATTTCAATACATATACTAACCTGAGTTTGCTTGACCTTGACGAGAAGCTCTCTCTGAACAGAGAACGCCTCCGCGAGAATCTTTGTCACATCCAACACTTGTCCCCCAATCTTCTCCGCAGAAGCCGAAACCCTCCCAACGTATTCCGCCATCAGATCGTCGAATGCGGTGATTGACGGATCCAGCGCCGTCGCATCTCCGCCGCTCTCTAGGGAAACTCCGGTCCGGAACCCGGCGGACAGCGCCTCGAGACGCACCACCGCCGATTCCAACCTCCCTATAAGCTTCTCATCCATGGCGCCCCCCCTCTCTCTCTCTCTTGAAAAGTTTCTCTCTCTAGAATTTGCAGAAGGTGGTGTAGATCTGGATGTTGTTGTTGATGTTGCTTTTGCTTTTTGGTTTGAAACGCCGAAAGGAAGCGAAAAAGGTTGGTTTGGATCGTGCGTGGGAATATATGATGATGCTGGTGTGTGTGAAATGTGAATGGACCAGGGATTGAGCGGGATTGGGTTCGCAGTGAGTGCGTCTGTTTGTGGCGTACACGTGTCAGATGTACATTGAACTTTGGCGGTTTATCGAGAGTTCTTGTGACTTGTAAAACACCTGTACCTTTGTCTGTTTTTATTGAGAAGTTATTAGTTGGCAAAAATGTTACAGGTTTTAAGAGTTGTATTAAAATTTTTATTAAATATTTTATATAGATGTAATGTTTTGTGATTAGTGAAAGAAGTAGGGTAGATGAATTTGTCTGAGGGGACTGAGGAGGATGAGGAGTATAGTAAATTATGAATGGTGAAGGATATAATCACGTGACGTCTCAGGAACAACCAATTAGTTTACTTGATTTCATAATTCAATATTTATTTTTTTAAAAATTAAAATTTGTCTTTTTTCTTTTTTTTTTAATTTTACTAATTTTTTTTAATATTTTAATTAATTTTTAAAATTTTCAAATATATCTCACATAAATACATTTAAAAAATATAATATTTATGAAAAAATTTACTAAATACCAAAAATATAAAAATTCAGTACATTTTAAAATATTTTTTATAAATATTTTAGTTCTTAGACATACCTAAGTAAGGTACATCTAAAAAAAGTAAAAAAAAAATACTTAAAATTTTAAAATATTTACTAAAAAAAATATGAAAAACAAAAAAATTAATTTTTAAAAAATTGAATTTAGAAAATTGAAACCAAACACAGTGAATAATTTTTCATTTTAATTAGAGAACTTTTCACCATTTTTTTATTTAATTTAATTTTAAATTTAAGTAAAAATATAATTTGATATGAATTATTATAATTATTTTATTAAATTCTCCTCTTATTTTAAAGTCTCTTTCCTATCAAATTTATTGAAAAAAAATCATTTCTAATGTTTCATCTATTAAAACTTTTTTTTTTTTTATAAAAGATTTGATGAGTTATCAATTTAATAACAAAAAAATAACTCTCTTTCGATTTGATAAACAATTGCTGAAAGAATTTTATATGACTTTTAATGTAAATTTGATCAAAGAAATAATAAAAGATTGGAGATATTAGTATATTTTTATATTAATAAACTTTAAAATTGTAAATAATTTTTTTTTGTGTTTTTATAAAGTTATAAATAATTTACTAAATTTATTAACAAATTTATTAACTTTTGTAGTTAAATAAAGATTTTTTTTCACTTGTTTTGAATAATAAGTTTTTGTTAATTCATTTTTTTTCACTTCTTGAGTTATCACCAGCTACCTGTCACCACATTCAGCCACCTTCATATTTTTTTTTTTTGAGCACCAGGCAAAGTACCATATATATTAACCATAGGGTAAGGAAATTACAGACCTTGCAAGTTTATGTGTTGGTTCAACCAACACTCTATGCACTTTAGTTACACAAAAAGTGAAAGGCAGAACTTAACATCAAAATATCTTGTAACTCTACATTTACCTCCCAATCAAAACAATTTTTTTGTGCACAACTATCAACTAAAACTTTACAATCAGTAAAAAGGGACAGACATGTAATTTTCCTCGTAATCGCCCACTTAATAGCTTCCAAAAGAGCTCTTGCTTCTGCTAGCAAAGGAGACACCAGCCGAGTTGAAATCCCTCATTGATATACCTGCAGTTGATATTCATCAAAACAAACCCATGCAATTCCTGTTGCTGCTCTTGTGACCTGCTGCCATGCTCCATCCACCACACAAGTAAACAACTAAAAATCCTTGGAAACCACACAAGTATTGGCAAGAACACAACAGTGGTTAGAAGATGAATCCTTCGACAGTGCCTTCTTATAGTCCAAACTAGCATTTGTAACATCGATGGAATTGTTGGACCACTGCTTCTTAAAATCATCAACCAAAAGTAATGTTTGTTCAATAGATAATTGTTCATTTTGAAAAACTCGGAGGTTACGCTGTCGCCAAATTGCCCAAAGGATAGCCACAGAATGGAGAATAAGCTCATCCTCCTGAACAGAAGTTATCCACTCCGTCCACCAAATGTGAAAGCCAACCGGTTGACCTATGGAGAAATTCAGACCCAAAGTTGTGCCCCTCCAAACTCGTTGAGACCACTGACACTCAAAGAAAACATGCTCTTTGGTTTCCTCAGATTGGCCACATCGAGCACATATTGTATCAATAGGAACGCCTCTTTTGCGAAGCTGCCATTTTACCGGAAGGATATTATGAAGACATTTCCACAAAAATAAGCTCAATTTGGAGGGCAAGTTTAACTTCCCCAATTTTTTCCAAACGAAAGTATCCATTGTATTAGCACTAGGAGTTCCCGCATGTCAACGTTTAATAGCTGACCAATAACCCGACTTAACCGAAAAGATCCCATTTGTAGTGCTAGTCCACACCAATCTATCTGGGCACGAAACCAAAGGGATATAGATACCTAGTATCAATGGAACCACTTCTGCTGGAAACAACCAAGAAAGCAAATCACCTCTCCAACAATTATTTGGAAAATCTATCAAATGTGCCACTCTCATTTCTGGAAAGAAATTGGACAGCTCCATGCCTCGCACTGGGTTAATCTGCCCCGGGATCCAAAAATCCTCAAAAGGTTTGATGGACTGCCCATTCCCAACCCTCTACATTAACACCTCTTTTAATAGTTCCCGACCCCACATTAAGCTTTTCCATCCCCAAGACGCAGCTTTAGCGCACTGAATGTTAAGAAAAGTTTTTCTGAAACTATATTTTCCTAACAACACTGAGGCAAGCAAAAAAGTCGGATTGGACAATACTCACCAAGCTTGCCTTGCTAAAAGCGCCTGATTAAAAGCACCCATATCTCGGAAGCCCAACCCTCTCTCATTTTTAGGAAGACACAAACTATCCCATTTTTTCCAGAACACCCCATGTCCCAGATTTGACTGCCATAAAAAACACCTAATAATGGTGTTCATTTTCTGGAGAACCCCACTTGGAATTTTAAAAACAGACATGAGGTATATGGGGATAGCCTGTAGGACATGTTTAACCATAATGCATCTCCCAGCAAAAGTTAAAAGCCTGCATTTCCAGCCTTGCATCTCCCAGTAGTCCTCAATCCTGGCATTTATTTGGGAGCCACCTTCATATTTGATCACAATGGGCGACCTTCTCCAACCACATCTCTAAAGAGATCAAAATGTATACACTCATTGACGAGGGATAATCTAATTAGTACAAAATCTATATAATATGGCACAAGAGTTTTTGAAAATGTCTCAAAATATGTTAGAGATACATTTGATTTCAATGGTTCAAATTATACTTATCAAGTAATCTAAAGGTCAAGATGAAATCTTTATTTTTGCTTCTCTCGCACAAATATATAACTTTTCTCTTTCTCTCTCTCTCTCTCTCTCTCTCTCTCTCTCTCTCTCTCTCTCTTCTATGTTAGACGTACATTCATCTCTCTCTTCTTACATACTCCAGCAACCCTTCTTTATCTCTATTTTCTCTTCCCCTTCTCTCAAGTTTCGGTTCTGCAATATTAACAGATGACACTCCTATGATCTTCAACTACAGTAGTTGTCTCTCGCTCTCTCTAATCTCTGTTATTTGTCAATCCTATTTGTTCATTGCGAGGCCTTTAACAGTTTCAATCTTCTCTTCAAACTATAAAATATGATGCCCTATCTTTCTTTAACTATTTCAGAAAATTATCGAGTAAATGGGTGATTGAAAATGCCATTTCTCTCTCTTCAAATGGGTTTCTCTCTAACCTGCGAAATGAGAATTTATTTTGGTTTTGTTTATCAATTACCCTATCTCTCTCTAAAATTTTGTAGGTTTCATCAACCTTTTGATTTGGGTTTCATCCTTTTACATTGATTGAAAATGCCCTCTCTCTCTCTCTCTTCAAATGAGTTTCTCTCTCTAACCTAGGAAAATGCTCATTTACTCAATAGTTTTCTTTTGGTTTCTCTCTCTAACCTAATGCCCTCTTCGTCCTTTTACATTGATGATTGAAAATATCCTCTTCAAATGGATTTTTCTCTCTAACCCACTCAGAAAATGCCCTCTTTCTTCAAATGGGTTTCTCTCTCTTCAAATTATAAAATACTAGCGGTCGGGCACGCATAATGTGTGTGCAAATAAAAAAATATTATTTTAAAAAAATGATCATACATCACAAACTTATTAAAAAAATAAATAGAAAACACTTACAATTTTGATATAAACAAAATAAAATAGTAATTCTTAAACAAATAGTACTCTTTTCAAAAATTATAAATCCAAGATTCTTAGAATATTTATATTCAAATAGATTTGATATACATAAAGAAATATATAAACAATTACATTGAATTTTTTTTGATATAAATGAAGTAAAATAATAGTCAAAATTTTTTCCCTAGGGAACTTGATAATATAATGAAACTTTTCATCTTCTTTTATTTTTTAATGAAGAAAATAAAAAGTATAATTAAATTAGTATACACAAAATACAAAAATGCAAACCCAAGATTGCTAAAATACTTACAATCAAAGAGATTTATACAAAAAAATAAAATAACCATAGCCAAAACCCATAAGAAAAAACTATTTAAAAAAAAAACCTTAAAAGCACTGGACACCCAAAAAAAAGTTACGTGAACAAACAAATCAAATTTTAAAAAATAGAATTTATATATAAAAAAACAAACAAAAGCTTAAAAAGGTGAAATAGAAACAAAAAAAAATTGAATATAATTTTTTTATAAAAAAATAATATAAAAACATAAAAATACATAAAATAAAAAAATACAAACTCGACTCTTATAACACTTGTAATCAAAGAGATTTTATAAAAAATTAAACAATTTTTTATTTTTTTGATTTAGACTAAAAATGGTCCCTATTTAAAACCCAATCCCCTCAATCCTGTGTCATTTGAAAAAGTTGAAAATGATACAAAATTAAACACATTTTGAAGTTAATTAAGTTTTTAATGTAAGGTTGAAGAATCTATTAATATACACATTCATATATAAAAAAGGCAAGAGTAC